AAGACCATTGCTCTGGTGAAGGTGTTGTGGGATGCAGCTACGGGTGAGGCTACTTGGGAGGAGGAGCAGCAGTGGAGGGAACAGTATCCGTGTTTATTCCCAAGTAAGTCTATTTTCGGGGACGAAAATTCCTGTTGTTGGGGTGGTTGTGAGACCCTCAATCTTTCTCTTCTCTCCCTCTCAACATATCACTTGCAGCCTTCCTTCTTCCTCTCATTCTTTCTCTCCCACTCACTTTGACTTGTTCATTCTCTTATCTTGGTGGCCTTAGGAGCTGTGTGAAGGTGTGGGAATGAAGCTGAAGCGCGGACTCTTCCTCCTCCGTTCATCATTTTCTCCGTTCGTTTTCTCCTTTCTCCTTCCCGGAAGCTCAAAACTTCTCCACTTCTCCTCCGAGGTAAGGGAAGCTAGGATTTTGTGTTGGTTGTTGTTGAGTGAGTTAGAAACTCACGGATTGTCTGATTCTTGGAGATTGATGGCTGTGTTTGAAAGATTTTCATTTTCGGGGTTTCGTGGTTTGATGAAAATTTGGGGTTTTTGGTTTCTTGATGGAAGGTTGAACATTGATGATTTTTCTTGAGTTTTGGATGCATGCATGTTGTGATTGTTGATGTTTTTGGGTTGCATGTGGTTGATAGTATTGCATTTGAGTTGTAGCATGGTTTGGGTCTCCTTGGATTGCAAGTTCATGGAGGTTTTGAGTGAAAACGAAGCTAAAATCCATGGAGTTTTTGGAAGTTCAGAAACCCACAGCTATAGTCGTGGAATCACAACTATAGCCGTGGAAGAAAATGCACTTGTAGGAACCCACAACTATAGCCGTGGATTTGCAGCCATAGCCGTGAGAAGGAAAAATGTGATGGCAGAGACTTGCATCCATGGCTGTGGTTTTTGCAGCCATAGCTGTGGAAAATTAATTAGAATGGCAGAAATTTGCAGCTATGGCCGTGGATTTGCAGCTATGGCTGTGGAAGGGAAAACTGAACTGACAGAGAGTTGCAGCTAAAGCGCTGGATTGAGCGCTGCAGCGGTGGGCCTTGATGACCGAATTTGGTCTTAAGGTCTTCATGAAAGTTGTATCCTTGGATCTTAGCTTTCCAATGGCGTTGGAATCACCCAAAAAGGAGTTCTAGAACTCCAAATATGGCTGTTTTAGTGAAGAGGGGTCAAGCTGTCAATATTGCTTATAGCTGTTGCGGTTTTTATCATTTTTAACAAGGTAGATGAAGGAATTAGGACTTGGTGTCTTCATGAGAGTTGTAGGAAATCTTTTTATCTTTCATATGAGATAAGGATGAGTATGGTAGAAGTAGTATAACTCCTGATGCGCTGTTTTCTGTGAAGGTTGCCATTTCACTTTTAGTGATTTGGTTAAGTTAAAAGTTGTTTTATGTGCTTAGGTGTATTGGTGTTGTTTGGGTGAGTAATTTGACAAGATAGATGAGTTATAAACAAGATGGTTGGGTCGTATTATGTGTTGAACATGTTGTACGTTGTGAAGTTGTTGATCATGCTATTTTAAGCTGTTAATGATGAATATTTTTGAGCTGAATGATGATATTGATGTGCTGCACTGAGCGCGACCCTTGTCGCGCTGGGCGTAAGACTCCTTGGGAGTCTCTGCCTCGAGGGCGCTGGGCGCAATTTGGTATTGCGCCAGGCGCGAGAGAGCTTTGGACTCTCTGACTGAGTCTCGCCGGGCGCAGGCACGCTTGCGCCGGGCGTGCTGGCCCTAGAGCCCTCTGGTTGTGCCACGTCAGGCGCGACCATGAGTGTGCCGGGCGCGTATGAGGATGTGAAGTTATATGCTGAATTTGCTGATAATATGGTTTAATGCTGTTTAATGCTGCCAATGTCGGGTGATGAAAAGTTGTGTTGTTCTGTGTGATGCTAATGCTGAACTTTATTGTTTGAGTTGAGCTGAATCATATGTTGATAATGGTTGAATTATGTTGTAATCGCTAAGCTGAGATGTAATTGATAAATATGTTGTGCTGACTAGATGTAAATGCTGAAAAATGATGTTAAGCTGTAATAGATGTATATCGTTGTGCTGAGCTGGGCTGTTATTGATGATTTTAAATGCTGATTTATAATATGGTTGTGCTCTAGAATGATGAGCTGAGTTGTGAGTAGTAAGCTGTGTTGAATACTACTTAGCTGTGTTGTATGCTGATTTTGTTGTGCTGTGCTGTGAGCTGTTTTGCTGTGCTGTTTATTACTGAGCTGTATGTTGTATTAGCCACTATTGTGATGCTGTTATAGCCGCTATGTCGGTGTTGTTGGCCACTATTGTGGTGCTGTTATAGTCGCTGAGCGGTGCTGATATTGCTGAATTTGTTGTGGTATAGTATAAGCTGTACGGGTGTGCTAATAGCTGTAGATGCTTTTATTTACATATTTATGTATGTATGTTAATTTTTAATTACACTAGCTTACCTTTTGTTGTTTCCATGATGATTGGACTGCAATGATCATACTATGTATGGGAGTAGAGCGGGGATAGGTGGATGTCTAGTGGTGAGTCTTCAACGGACCGGTGGAGCTGATCTCTTTTGTGATTATTTTTGTTGTTGAGCTACTTGGGATAGTAGCTTTTGATTGTAAATTTTGTACACTTTAACTCTGTTCAGATTGGATCATGTATATGTATATTTTAGACTCTATATATATACAGTTGTTCTTTTCTGTGCGGTGTTTCTAGTGTGTTGTGCCGTGTGTAGTGACCAGTCGGGTCGTTACAATACCAATACCCACACAATGAGATATCCGACTTTAAAAAGCATCTTCTCCTTTAGTCTTAATTCAATCAGCATGCGTAAATACTTATAACATTCTCAACATCACACCTCAATAGGTTGACAATATTCAACATATCATGCATAAATGTCTAAAGCATTCTCAGCATCACACTCCTGCAATATACATTACCATAGGCTAATGAAGATAAATCTAACAACACCAAACAATTCGCAACACAATTGCACCTCAACAATTCAACCACACTACCATCTATATATATTATCACAGATTAATATATAACTAAACCACACCTAGTAAAACACCACATATACTAGATTCATCTAACCTATCCATGCATGTTCTCAAATTGATCATATAATCAACAAGTTATTATAATGCGACCCACACCTGACGCTATCCACATTGTGTCTAACACCATTTAGGTAGGGAGTTCTTTACGTCGCCAATGCTTGATGCTTGATGTCATACAACTCGCACCCAACATTGACTAGGTAGAGACCATCAAGTCCTCACCCCTAGCATGACAAAGTCTCACGCCCAACCTCAGTCAAAGTAGAGACAATTTTCTCTCTTCAGGCTCGACGTCAATCCAAACAAAGTTAATTCTTTCACCTCATGCTTGACGCCACTCCTTCGACGTTTAATGTCAATCCAAACCTAGATAATTTCCCCACCGCACGCTCTATGCCTAACACAATTTTAACTTGAAGCAATTCTCTTCTTTTACACCCAGTGCCACCAGTCTTACGCCCAACGTGAACGAGATAGAGACTCTTTGATTGAAACTACACCCAACGTGACGATGAATTTTGCACTTACATATTGCTTAAATTAGCTCATAACACCTGAAAATTTTTTTTTTTTGCATGCAATACAACAATCCATATATTATATAAATAATTACATCAATTAACCCTATTTCTTTATTTAATTTTTGAATTTGTATTCAAATTGAAAATTATTTATATAATATTTTTTTTGCCATCTTTCTTTCTTATTTTGATATTTTAGATAAATGCATGAAAGAGCATTTAACTGATGTAAATATTTTAATATTTATATTGAAATACCTTTATTTTAAAGAAAAAAAAATACACCCTTCAATTTATTATCCACCTTAAAATATGAAGTTGAGATGGTTAGAGTTTTTTCATAAGTGAATTTTAACTATTTTTTTTACTTTGTATTATTTTTATTGTTTTCTTTAAGCTTAATATTTAGTTAACCCCATTTCTTCATTATTTATTTTAATATAACAAAAGAAGTAAACTTTAGCGATCATTATTAATTTCTAAAAAAGATAGAAATAAAATTTGCTATTCCACACCCATGAACTCAATGTCTACACACTAGCGATGTTGAAGTATCTTTATGCGGAAATATGCCTCTGAACAACCTAAATCTTGATTGATCCACACCACCACGATTTTATACAAATACGAAGCATCCTAAAATCACCAAACAGATCACATGGGATAGATAGGTTAGTTCTCAAAGAACAAAGACATTGGAGACACAAATCAACAAAATAAATCATAAAATAGTTGAGGATGAGGAAGCTGCATCTCACCCATGCCAAATACCTACAAACGTTCTCTTCACGAAATTTACACGAAATTCAATTTCTAAAGCAAAATGTTTAAAACAACTTTGTAATTACGATAGTGGTAAAACAGGAATAAGACATTATTGACATGTTAGATACGTCTACTGTTTTTTCACTTAAAGAATTATTCTACAAGTCTAAACTTAATTAATTTTACCTAATTATAACTATTCAACTACCCTCTCTACTTAAAAAATTTATGTGGAAAATCAAGGAGAGAAAGTAACATAAAATGAATTCCATCATGATAAAAACATGAAAAACTTGGATGAATATTATTAATTATTATTTTAATTTTATAAAAAGATTTTTAATTAAAATTAATGTGGATAACCAAAACGTTAACGTGAGAAAAATATATAGACTAAAAGTGAGAATTAACAAAAGTGTTGAAACTAAAATCAATAAAAAAAATTGTTCAGAGACTTAAAAATAAAAATTTAGAAAAATTTAATGAATAAAAATATGTATAGCCCATATTATATTTCAAGAGTTTTATTAAAAAAAAAATTATTCGCAAATCCTCAACTCAAGAGAAAATATAATTTTATCTAGTCAAACATAATTTTAAAGAAAAAAAAAAGATTTTTATTTGAAACTTGGTAAACATAATTTTGATTTGTTTTTCTTCCCATATTGTTGTGAAAAGTAAGAAGTGGTTCGGTCACATACTCATTTCTTTCTCTGACTCTGAAGTCTGACCCATTGCTTTGCTTTGCTTTGCTTCTCCTTTTTGTAAACTGAAGCAAAGGCTTTGTGTTGTGTTGTGTTGTGTGAGTTATTGTAATGTTGCGAGTGAAGGGAGGGAAAAGACCACCTTGGGTGGGACTTGGAGCTGCGGTGTGGGTTCAGATTGCATCAGGAAATGGTTACACTTTCCCTCTCTATTCTCACTCCTTGAAATCCGTTTTGGGTTTCAACCAGAGCCAGATCACCCTCCTTGGTGTTGCCAATGATATTGGTGAGAATGTTGGCATTCTCCCTGGTCTCGCATGCAACAAGCTCCCTCCTTGGCTCATTCTTTTCATCGGTGCTCTCTTTTCTTTCCTTGGTTTTGGTCTTCTCTGGCTTGCCATCAGTAAAACACTTGATTCCCTTCCTTTCTTCTTGGTAACTTCATCTCTTTTCATCTTTCATATCATGAATTAAATGCTTTTTATTGTTGGAGCATTGACTTAGTTCTGTTTTATTGGTTGTTGGGTATTTGATTTCATTTCATTTCTCATAGACAAACTTGATCCCAGGTTTTGTGGAGACAAAATGAAAGGAGTTATGTTTATGTAGGACCAGACATATCATTAGAGAATAATCATAGTATCCAATATTTTCAATCTTGTCTGAATTTGCGAATCCTTATTTTTTTTTATTCTTATATCCATAAATATCTTTCCAGTGTATTATTTGATCTGTTTAATAATTGCTATAAATAGTAACTTGTTTGTTAAGCTCTGCATTGTATTGAAATGGCCTAGTTAATTATGACCTCTTTCTCTTTCTATCTACGGTGTTGCAGCTATGGTTTGCACTTGCTGTTGCTACCAACAGTTGTGCATGGTTATCTACTGGTATCCTTGTCACCAACATGAGAAATTTCCCTGTCAGCAGAGGCACAGTTGCAGGGATACTGAAAGGTTATGCGGGTCTCAGTGCTGCAGTTTTTACTCAAATTTATAGCGTAGTTTTTCATAATTCTTCATCCAAGTTCCTGTTGTTTCTTGCCATTGGTATTCCTGCTTTTTGTTTCAGCACCATGTTTTTTGTCCGGCCCTGTACTCCTGCTTCTGGTGAAGATTCTGCTGAAAAGGGGCATTTTCTTTTCATCCAAGGTGCTAGTGTTGCCTTGGGTTTGTACATACTTGCAACAACAATACTTGACAACTTTCTCCGCATGAGTGATACTGTGTCGTATGTTTTGTTGGCCGTGATGATTCTCCTTCTCTTGGCTCCACTTGCTATCCCTATAAAGATGACACTGTGTCCCAGAAAAGAATCTGCATCAGAAGCTCCAGAGCAACATATTGGATCTTCAGACTTTCTGACTCAAGATGGCAAAGATAAGATAGAGCCCTTGCTATCTTCTTCATCAGCTAGTGGTCTTGGAAGTTTCATTGATGCTGATGGTTCAGCTGAGGTGGCTATGCTTCTTGCTGAGGGTGAGGGAGCAGTGAGGAAGAAGAGAAGGCCTAAAAGAGGGGAGGATTTTAAGTTTACTGAGGCTCTAGTAAAGGCTGATTTCTGGCTACTGTTTTTTGTTTACTTTGTTGGTGTTGGAACTGGGGTTACTGTTCTTAACAATCTGGCTCAGATAGGCATTGCACAAGGTGTGGAAGATACAACTATCTTGCTCTCACTTTTCAGCTTTTTCAATTTTGTGGGCCGGCTTGGCGGAGGAGTTGTTTCAGAACATTTTGTCAGGTAATTAGTTCTGCTCAGTAAAGTTAAAAATTTTACTCACGCCCATGTATCAGTTAAAATCCTTAGAGATCATTATAATCATTTCGATATTTGGATGCCATGCTACTTTTTGATTAGCACACTACAATGGTTAATCCTAACATTTCTAATTTGTGAAAATAGGTGTTGAAATGTACGTGTTTGCCTTTAGTGTTTAATAGTCATGTTGTAAATCAATCAGAAAGTATTATTAGTATGATTTTAGGTTAGTTATTACCTAGTATAATAAATTGAAAAAGTCAATAAATTCACCATACAGATTGTGATTAAATGATATTTATTGTTATTCATATCATCTAAAAATGAAGTGATGTATAAATAAGGTCCAATTGTTTTGACAATGTGCAGGACAAAAACGATTCCAAGGACAGTTTGGATGACATGCACGCAGATAATTATGATCTTCTTGTACCTTCTGTTTGCCTATGCTATCAATGGAACCCTTTATCCTGCAATAGCAATTCTTGGTATCTGCTATGGCGTGCAATTTTCCATAGTGATTCCCACTGTTTCGGAGCTTTTTGGTTTGAAACACTTTGGTTTACTGATCAACTTCATGTCTTTGGGGAATCCACTCGCTGCATTTCTTTTCTCAGCTCTTCTAGCTGGACGCATATATGACAATGAGGCGGCAAAGCAGCATGGTGTAGGCCTCATTGCTTCAAGTTTTGCATGCATGGGTCCAAATTGTTTCAAGCTCACTTTTTTGACTCTGGCTGGTGTGTGTGTTGCGGGTACCATCTTCAGCATTATCTTGACCATAAGAATTAAGCCCGTTTACCAAATGCTTTATTCCGGGGGTTCTTTTAAGCTACCTCAAACTTCAGGTCACTAAAAAGTGAAGTTGAAGAACAAATAAAGCAGATCACTCCTTAGTTCCTTTTTTAGACAAACATGTTTTAGGTGCTGTTTCCTGGTCTGCCATTATATGCTACATGGCAGATCAACAATCTATTAGGCCAAGAAATGTTGGTTTCACACGTGTGACCCTTTTGTTTTAGTTTGTATAATTAAGTTCAGAATTTTCGTATTTTACTTGTAGAATGCTTGTTTTAGCATGCATGTTTAGTTGGGATATGGTGCTGACCACTAAGAAGTGATAAAGGTAAAGGATCTGATATGTGATCTTTATATACATGGTTGTATGGGAATTAATCCATTAGATGCTTGGAACGATCTCATATTTCAATATGTGTGATGATAATTATACAATTAATGAGCCTCGTATGTGTGTGTATTAGCTATTTTAAATGTGAGATTTTAGTTTTAATTTGCTGAGTCCTGACAGTGATCTTTGGATTATGTTAACACTTTGGACTTTAGTCTCAATTCCTTTGAATGCAGTGTACCTCCCACCGCCCAGATTAATTACTATACGAAGAAACATCAAGTAACCTCAACTTTTATGTTTGTATTTATCACAATAAAAACTTTTTTATTGCACGTCCTACTCATTGAACGAACTTTTTATTTCACCAAGTAGACAAATACATCGTTATAATATAAATAAACTTAATAGTTCATTCATCGACATCTGGGACTGTTAAGAGAAAAGTTAATAAAATATACTAATGTATAAACAAGTGGTTGGAGAACCATAGAGAATGAATACAAGAAAAGCGTTGCTGCAAAACACGACATTTTCATATGATAATTGCTAGATGTTACGTTATATAATCTATAAAATAAGTATAAAAAAAAAAAAAAAAAAAAAAAAAAAAAGGGAAAGCGCCCCCACCCATCGGCGGCAAAAAA